TGTGATAGTATAAGCAGGAAGTGCTTAGCAGACCGCACGTGATGTGCTAATCGAAAAGTGTATTTCGTGCGCCTTGCGTTAAAACGAAAATTGTGTAAAATTTAAACAAACGTACAGGTCAGGCGAAGGGTCCACACAACCCCACCAGAGCGTTGGTGGGTTACAAACGCTCGAAAAAAGAAGATGTACAAAAAGGTTAAACAACAAAGCCTCGCAAGTTGGTACGTCCAGTAGCGGTTGAAATCTACTAAGTCTTCATTTGCGGAGAAGACTAAATAGGAAAAATGGGGCAATTTGGTAGGGGTCGTGAAAAAATCAGACGAAGCTACGGTCTCCAGTACCGGTACCGGACTTGGTTGCGTTCTTGAAAGCGATCACTGTATTAAGTTATTTTCTTTTGGTGAAGATGAAAGCCGTAGAAACACCAGAATTATGACATCTTATTTATATCTCGACCACTATATCTTAAAGATACTCATGGGAAAGTCAAACTTTCCCAGGTCAATGGAGTACCACTTAAAGTTTTAAGTGATTAGCTCTTCCTAGCTTACGTTATACATGTTTCAACTGACCAAATTATTTGTTCATCCCTGCTATTAACAGGATTTTTTCAGAAAAAATTAACAAAGGGTACAAGTTTACAACTATGAAGTGAAAAATATCTCAGGAAAGCATCCCGAATCTGATCATGAAAGGAAATTATTTCGGATAATACGGTACTGCTGGTTAGCCGGTTGTATACTGAAGAGGTTGGTCTGTAGGCTTCTCACATTTTCACTTTTGTATGCCCATAGTTTACGGCCGTTGCCATGGATGAGCTAAAGTTTTTGGAACTCAGAAAGCAGATGGAGGAAAACAACGAAGATATTAGAGATTTTTTAAAAGATATGGATAGCTGGAAAACAGAAGTTCAGAAGAAAAAAGAAAAACTCGCTAGCGAGTCATCTAGTGCCAACGTCGACTTGCCGTCGATTAGGAACACACTCAGTAAAAAGAAGAAGAAATCGAAGCCAAAGGTTTACCTATTAGCGGTCTTATGTTTTTGGTCAGGCTGAACAGCAGAATACGCTTAAACCCATCTTAAAACAACCTCGGATTAAAAGTTACGATTATCGTGCGTGGGATAAGTTTGACGTTGACGGCGCCTTAAAAGAAGTTGATACGGCGAACGATGAGAAAATTTCGACAGAAAGTGAAACAGACGACGAGTGGGAAGATGAACGACGCGTGAAGTTGGCAGAAGCTGAAAAAGAACAGGGCAACATCCGCTTTAAAGTAAGTACGGTTTAGCTAAACAGTATAATAATTTCCCTTGCCGTTTAAAAAAATACATATCCGCATACCTAGAATCTATCTACTTTTAATAATCACGTTTATTCATAGTTATGAGCCAGAAATTAGTACTAAGTATTCTGCAGACATCTCTTATTTGCAGAACGAATGCCGCTGTGTATCAAATTATTAATACTCGTGATTGTGGGCTACACATAGGCCAATCTCTTACTCAACTCATGGGCGATCTTCCGAATTCTGAATAATCCTTCACCAGCTAGCATCCAACTCAAGCCGACAATTGTCGTCTGCAGGCTCCTAGAATGATACCGTATTGTAATTATTTATCCTCAGAAATCTCTCGCATTATGCTCACAGTCATCTTTTCCTGCGTTAGAACTGACTGATATTCAAAAAAACTATTGATATTTATAAAAATCAATCCCTATTATATTCTTTTTGACTTGAATGGAAGAGCCTTTCTCACAGCGAGTGCGCGCACTCCTAGTTGCGGATTAATTTAACTGGTTAATAAGTTTTAGAATTCAATATGACCCCATCTCTAGGCCAAGGTGATTAGCTTTCTTTCCTTTATACCACTGTATGTCAAAGGGATGTTCTCGGTAATCTTATTTGCCCATCTTCCTTCAGTGCCAATTTATTCGCAAGCCACGAGTACTTTGTAAGGTGCTATTTATGTCGGACTGCTTCAAATGTAAGCAAATTACACCTAAACGATTTTTTTTATAATGACAGACCTGATATCAGCAAACTCGTTTTAGAGGAAGCGTTTTTGCCCTAACGGTAAGCCGTGTGGAGCGCTGGACTGAGCACTATAAGAACGATCCAGCCTTTTTCGTTTACTGCCGCGGACAAGACCCTTTAAATTGGGAGTTAGTGGCGTACTGAAATGGGCCACGGAGAAGGACACCACAACCTTGGACAGACTTCCGTCTCTGCTGTGTATAGTAGAGCTGATTTAAACACTTACATGAGGGAACTCCCACTCCCTCCGGCACCCGCCAAAGTGGTAT